TCAATCGTTGGTCCAATAGTAGTTCCTTTTAGCCGCCGAGTCCTTGTAATCAATTTGAGTTGAGATTCTTTTTACAGCAAATTTTTCTATTTTTTTTAATTATAAGACGATTATTATTTTAATAAAGGATCATTTTTTTTCTAAATTTATTAATGACATAATATTTTAGACATTTGGCCTTTAAATATTTGAAATTTTACCCGGTTGATAAGTTGCACATTTTTAATGAAAATGATATATTATATAGTTATAATGTTATATAATATTATAAATTTATAATTATAATATACAATTACATTATTGGCTTGTTTTATCTTATAACCTACTAGTAATATTGTATTATTTACTTAATAACACATTAAAATTATAAATTCATACTTTTACGTTGGATATATTAGTTAAAATGATTCTCACATTTCATGCATATATATGCACTTACTACAAAGCACTTTTACAGCAGAAGAAATAAAGCAATGGTACCAAAATCCCATATATATAATGGAATGGCAAATGCAGCAAAAGGAAAATAGTGAAATTTAGAGAGGTGAAGAGGCAATTTGCAAGGTGCGGCGACTGGCAATATAAATCTGTCCTTCTTTGTGCCATACCCTCACTTTTTCTTCACTTTCACCAAAACGAGACAATTGGGAGCTTCCCCCCATACCCTTTTGTCTCTCCCACTTCCTCACTTCTTTCTCTTTCAATGCGAGGTGTGTAGGCCTTTATTCTCATGTCACCCCTGCTCTATAATTCCATTTGTGTATTTTGATTGTATAATGATTGATACACTTTTTAATTCAACTTATACAATATATTTATTAAAAAATAATTATTTTCAAAATTTTAAATTTGAATTGATTAAATTAGTGGGTGTTAATAATTATATTGAATCAAAAGTGTACTAATAATTTTCTATTTTAATTTTGTGTTTTGATTTTGGGACCAGAAGATTTATAGTATACTTGGGTTGAGGAGAATGAAGAAGAAGAAAGTGAAAGACTTTTTGACTAATTAGATTATAATATTTAAAAAAATATTATAATTTGATTAAATAAAAAAACACTTCTCTTTTTCCCCCTCTCCTCCCTTCATTTTTTAACCCAAACATACTATTAGGGTTTAATTCTTAATCTTTATATATTAAAAAAAACATTATATTAAACTCATTAAAAAGCATATAACATATACCATGTGGTTTAAGAAAATTAATTTTTTTGAATGCATTGAACAAATATAAAAAATATATCCTTAAAATCGTTTAAAAAGAGAATAATTTTGAGGTGAGTAAAAAATAACCCGATAAAACTTGACATTAAATAAAACAACAAGAACTAACACATTATACGGCATCATTAAAAGTAAAAAATGAATTTTTTTTAGTAGCCAAGATGTTTCGGGCAAATTTATGTGCATTGAAACTAATCTTTATCCAATTTGATTAAAAACTGTTTTTAAAAATAAAATAAAATTTAAAGAAACATTTCGAATTTAGCTCATCCGTTACTTTTACGTTGCAATTCATTTCGCCACCGTTGCTGCCATGGAAGTGAAAAGGTTGGTAAGCATCCTGCTTCATCAATTCCTTCCCCCAACTTCTGTATGGAGATTTCTACATTTATTCTTACCTACATTCTCTGCCATGTTAGCCAGTGGTTCAACTACGCAAGTCTTAATCACATCACTAAACCCCTTCCGTTGTTGGCACGTAGTAGTCATTGACAATAACCTCCATCTTAATGATTAATTTTCCCATATATGTCAAGACCATTTTCTTCATTGATTGTCTTCCTTTATGGGTTTTCATGTTCAAACTCTGTAAAATCTATCAACAATCCAAGCATCATGATTATGGTTTATAAATAATTAATTAATAACATCTACAGACTAGAGTGGTATGTTACAAGCTCATTTAATGATATCTCATGGTGATGCAGAGCCAAGAGATTTGGGATTGATGGTTTTTTCGTCTATCATATGTTTGTGAAATTGCCTGACCCAGCTAGGCCTTCTGTTTCTGTATCTCTTTTATGTTTAAGTGGGTTTTTTTAATTAATGGGTGAATTTTGCTCCTAGGCTAGTTATATGAGCTGTGTTTCTGGGCAAATTTTGTCATGAATCAACGGCTCATTTCGTCCCACATATCAGGATCTTATGTAGAACATGTAGGACCCAGATGAACTCAAGTAGTTTTAGGCACAGAGTAAAATTCTACAAATGCAAGACATGGGGCATTGATTCTTGAGAAGAGTTTGAACGAGGAGTGTCAAATTTGGTACTAGACCAGTACTTAGGTCCTCTTTGTCTTTGGCGAAGTCAGTGATCAAAAGAGCTTATATACGCAATGATAAAGAACATGAGGTGGGGTCCTGAGAGCTGCCCCTTCCATGCTTTAAAATTTACATAAGGGTATCTAAGTAGAGGAGGTCCTTGTGCAAGGCACACATATGTAACTTTTTGGTAACAGAGTATCTGCTGGATAATGCCTTCAATTAATTCTATAAAATTCATCTTTCTCAGGGAGTGGTTACTGATAAGGGCACCAGTCACTTTGACCCACCCACTTCTCTTCCAAGGTAACATAATTTCACCCACTTCCACACGTGTCTTAGAAGTTTTATACAATTGTCTCAAGTGGATAAAATTGTGTTTGAGCATATACATAGTATGGACTTTCAAACATTGAGAGCTTAATTAAATTCAAGTGGCACATAAATATGGCTCGAAAATTCATGCATAACTTTATCCAATTCACATGTGTGACTTTAGAAGTTCCCCTCAAAATTTGAGTGACTACATAAGGATTAAGATTGGCGAGTAACTTTTGCTCATATTTCTTAAATTAGATGAAACATTATAAAAAGGTAAAATAAAGTTTGAGTGAAGGAAAGACTGGGTGAATCCCCTAGGTATCAAAGAGAGATATGATTAGAAAAAGTACCGATGAATTGAATGAAAGGACAGAGGAGGTTAGGGGGGGTGGGGGATAGTGTTGATGTCCTGACTGAATGCTATGTTGGGAAAGAGTTTGGGTCTATCAGTTCTCTGTAATGCTTTGAACTGACCCAAACACCTCATTCCCTTTATGGAAAAGTCATCATTCCATTTGAAACTCAGACCTTGTCGGGAACATGCAAACCATCAGATTTTGGGAAAAGCATCCAAAGTCCATAACACCCTCCACCCCTTACCACTCACTCAGTACACACATATACACATATCTCAGCATCTGATTGATAGAAGATAACTCACAATTCTTATGTAACTTCTCATTTCATTGCCCATTTTTATCATCTATGTATCAGTAGTGAATATCACAGTATCTTAATCTTCGGTTGCTAGTGTACTATATATAATCTCTCTGATTCATTCTACCTTCTTTTTCCTTTCCATTTTCTTTGCTCATTTGAAGTTTTTTAATGAGTTTTGTAAGATTTTCGACACTGATCATGTGTATATTGGAACTTGGGTTTCAAACTTTCCAATAATGCTATCTTTTTGTTCAAATAATGCAATTTATAAGGGAATGTATGGAAAAAGACTTCTGAGAAAGTTTTGGGGAAATCAATTTTCATTATTTTGCTATACAAATGCATATACTTTTGTTCCTAATCAAAAAAATGTGATACTTTTTTCTGAAAATATAATCAGTGCACTTACTTTTTGCCTAGATGCAGTAAGCACTTTAAAAAACCTTCCCTTCACTATGGATCTATTGTTTTTTTTCCCTGCAGGGGATTGAATTCTTGTCTATTAAAAGCATTTTTTCACATCAAAACAAACATTATATTTTAAATGTAAAAAGAATCTGCTCTTTCTCTTTGTTCTCTCAGTTATTAGCAAAGGAAGTTCTCTTTGTTATATTTATTCACTTGTTTTTCTTCTTTGACTTTTCTTCTGGTTTGGTTTTTGTTCTATAATTTTTGTAACAAACTATATAATACTAATATCCATTGTATTATGATTAATCTCATGCATGACTTTTCTCTTATTCTTCTTCCCTTGTCTTAAATTTAGAAATTAACTTCTGTATTTTTATTTTACATTCACATTGCCAGTAATATATTGACTAATAACATCATCAAAATATCCTTTTCCTTAAGTAGGTAGTTAATTAATTATTATAAAAGGTAGACAAGTTGAACAGATTAAACTGTTTCTTTTTGCTGTTAACTTGCAGTTAACCTAACAACAATCTTGTATACCATACAACTATAGAGTTAAAAAATATTATATATATACTAAATATATTATAGTCATAGAGAGAGAAGGGGGGAATTAAAATTAATATTAGGAAGAAAAAACACATACGAAAAACATAATATTAAACATTTTTTAAGAAAAGAAGAGAAAAACAGATAGGAAAGTTAAAATTTAGATTTAAAAATGGTCTGAAGAAGATGAAAGAAGAGACAACTATAAGATGTACTTAAACTAGATGCCTTTTCTCTTCTGGTATATAAGAGATGGAATAAAAAATATAAGAAGCACACCTCATGACAATATTTAGCTAAATATAAATGCTAGAGTGAGAGAGATTACAATATGCCTACATAGTGGGAATAAGTAGAAGAAAAAAAAAAATACAATATTTTGCTTGAATCTTACACTGATGCATCTCACAAAGACATCTTATGCATGCAAGAAAGTGCAGTACCGAAGCTTCATGATTGAATTGAGAAAGCATATATAACTGCAGCTTGTTATGATCTCACATAATACATAATGCCCTCAGTACTTGGAAATATGTCTTGATGATGATAAAAGCTGCAGAAAAGTTCATTCAAGAGTATCCCAATCGAAGTTCCAAGTCCAAATCCTCCTTGGAATCACTGAGGAGACCAATCTCCAAGTCCAACCTTACAATACTCTCATCCTTCTTCAACAACTTACACTCATCGTCTTCTTCTGTGAAAGCATCAAGGTCTTTGAGCTCAGAGTAGGATTTCCCACCCTTCATATTGGTTAAGTCTGAGGTTTTGTGTGTTGAAGGATCGATAAGGGTTCTTTCTAGAGCCCAAGTACTCTTCATTTTACTGGGGGAAGCAACCGGAGAAGGTGAAGACAAGGAAGAAGCATGAGGAGAAACCAAGGAAGGTAATGTGGTAGGAAATGGGTGGGGAATGAAGGAGGATGGTGAAAAATTAGGGTTAGGGTTAGGGTTAAGGCTAAGATTCAGAAGAGGGTAGTTACCATGATTAGAAGGTGATGACTGCCTCAACCTGGCTCTGTCTCTCCTATGAACATTCATGTGGCCACCCAGAGCCTGAGCGGATCTGAATTCCCTTTTGCAGAAGCAGCAAGAGTAAGATCTTGGAGGCCAAGAAAACCCACCAAGGTAATCTTGATCTCCATGACCATGGCTGCTGTTACTGCTCCGAGGATGATCTTTAGATGATCTGTTGAGGTTCTTGTTGCTTTCCTTTTCTCTCATGGTTTTGGTTCCCTCTAAACTATGCTCTTTCAAGTTGTTGCTGAAACTGTTCCTCTCCATGGATTCTTTCTGCAGGATGGGTCACACCCAGAAAAGATATATAAAAAGGACAAGAACAACAATCTAGTTCAAATCATATAAAATTATAAAGAAACAAAAAGATCCAAGCGAATATCTACAACAAAAAAAGTTGAGACTACAGCAACAGAGGAGGGGTCTTCCTTCTCTTTTATGAGGGAAAGTGAGAGAAAGGAAAGTAACTGACCTTAGAAAATGTGGTGATGATGATGTAGAGTTCAGAGAGAAAAAGCTCTTTTGAAGTTGCAGGGAAGGCCATCAAATTCCTAGGCAGAAGCAGAAAATCCTATTGGAGGGACACACATTTACAAATTTCACACACGTTGGGTCACTGCTTACTAAATGTGGAAACCTCTCTGCTGCCAGGTTATTTATGCCCTTTTGCCAAATTAGGCAAAACTATATCCTCCTGTTTTTAATTTCTTTCTATTACATTTTTAAAGACATTTAGAGCATGTTTGGTGAAGTTTTTATTTTTATTTTTTTTTATACTGTTTATAAGTAGTAAATTTAAATTTTTATTAGATGAAAAATTTAAAAATTATTTTTAGAAATAAAAAAAAGTAAGTAAAAAATAAGTAAAAA